CCAAGTAGCTGGGCTTATAAGCGCCCACCACCACGTTCAGCTAATTTTTGTATTTTTAGTAGAGACAGGGTTTTGCCATGTTGGTTAGGTTGGTTTTGAACTCCTGACCTTAACTGATCGCCCACCTCGGCCTCTTAAAGCGCTGGGAATGCATGCGTGAGCCACCTTGTCCAAAATATTTTTCTGTTTCCAAACATTTTACAAGAGAGGAAAGCGGAGAATAAATCATCTGACATACTACTATAAAAAGAAAATCTTTGTGCCTCTCTTCTTTTCATCTTTCCTAAGTGTACATATTACCAAAATGTCTTTAGGTTGAGGTCCCCCCGTGAAAACTTTACAGGGTGTTGTGTCCTCAGACACCCTCCTGTCTTTTCCTAGTCCTGGCATTTTAGAACTGTCTGGGGATGATCCAGGATACCCGCTGTGGCCATGTCTATTGGAGGGTCTAGTGAGTATCAGCCCCGGGGTCATCTCATCGCCAAGGACAGCCTGAGGTAGGGGTAGAGGTCCTCAGGGGAGCAACTGGGATGCTCTTGGCCTTTGAGGAATCTCCTGGTATAGTTTCATCTAAAATGGTGACCCCTTAGGGTTATTAAAATTTAGGACATTAAAATGACATGGACAATACAACGTTAATGTCATTAAAGCTAGGTCATGAAAACTGTTCTCCAGCGGAGCTTTTTTATCCTCGGAGACACATTGACGGTCTGCAAAATGGGATGCTGATATTGAGAGGAAAAGGCAGAAATGATTTCTGCTCTCTAGATTGTCTCAGATTTGTGAGAGAGAAAAAACTGTCCCAAAGGACAAGGAAAACCCACCCCCAGAGAGGATGTTGCAGAACCTGAATATGAAAATGCACTCAAGCACACAGGAGGACAAAGAGCAGTGCCAGTGCCTCCTAGGTGGTCACTGAGGACTTTACTGAACAGGATGGGTGTCCCGAGGGATAGAATGCCTGCCGTGACACTAGAAAGGTCTGTTTTGGAGTCAGCGCGGCCTCTCCCTGAGTTTGTTACCTTGATAAGGCTTGTCCGCTTATATGAGGTTTCAGTTTTTCATTGACTGTAAGATACATGTTGTCAGTACAGTTTGAAAGATAAAGGTACTATTTCCAAAGTAGCAAGGTAAAATGACGGTATTTTATTTGCTAAAAGTTCATATTTATTTCTTCCCCAGAGTGAGTGTAGTAAGATTTAAAGGTTCTGTTCTTTTCAAGGGTAATTTCAAATGGAATTGTAGGACTTAGCTTTGTGATTATGCTACTGGTGAAATAAAAGTATGATAGATAAATTGATGATTTACAAGGATTCACCAAAATGTCAGTTCCCCTCTTGTAGCATGGTGAAGAATTTATGACAGTGGGACACATCTGTGTCCTCTTATCTGGATATCTGAGGGGTTTTTTGGTGTTTGTTTTATGTTTTTTTTTTTTTTTTGGAGACACTGGTCTTGCTCTGTAGCCCGGCTGAAGTGGCAGTGGCACTAATCTCTGCTTACTGCGACCTCTGCCTCCCGGGTTCAAGTGATTCCCTGTGTCAGCCTCCTGAGTTACTGGGATTATAGGCACCCACCATCACACCCAGCTAATTTTTGCATTTTTAGTAAACACGGGGTTTAGGCCTGGCACTGTGGCTCAGGCCTGTAATCCAGCAATTTGGGAGGCCAAGGTGGGTGGATCACGAGGTCAGGAGTTCCAGAGCAGCCTGGCAACATGGTGAAACCCTGTCTCTACTAAAAATACAAAAAAAAATTTAGCTGAGCATGGTGGCAGACACCTGTAATCCCAGCTACTTGGGAGGCTGAGGCAAGAGAATTGCTTGAACCCGAGAGGTGGAGGTTGCAGTGAACCAAGATCTTGCCACTGCACCAAGCCCAAGCGACAATGCAAGACTCCGTCTCAAAAAACAAAAAATACAAACAGCAAAAAGGCGGGGTTTGCCATGTTGGCCAGGCTGGTCTCAACATCCTGACATCAGATGATTGCTCACCTCATCCTCCCAAGGTGCTGGGATTACAGGCGTGAGCCACCATGCCCTGCCCACACTATTTTATTTTATTCCCTAAATTTTAATATGTTTGAGTTTGTCTGTTCCTTTATCACTGTTTTCTTACATAAAATAAATTCTGCCTAATCCTTCGTAAAAAAAAAAAAAAATCTTTCTGTGACTTCTGAAAGTGTTCTGGTTTTATCTTTCATATTTGAATATATAATAAGTTGATTATGGATCATGGAATAGAGAAGAATGCAGTGCATTTTCCTAAGCAGATGCCAGCCTGGTTTGCCTCATATTTTAAAGTGCATGTGATTTCTTTTTCTATTCTACAGTGCCTACTCTATCACTCATCAACTTTTCATTTAAATGCTGGGTCATTAAGACTTCTTCCCATTGGTCTGCTTGCTCATCTCTCTGCTAATACTGTGCTGTCCTGAGTATTTCGTTTGAAAATCTTAGAAGTATGTTAGACAAGGCATCACTCTTTTTTTAGATGACTAAAAAGCATTAGACATTTGTCATTTTTACTACGCATGAAAAAGTAATTTTTCCTGCCTAAAAAAAACCTGATTTGGGAATTTATGTGATTTCATAGGAATAGCATCTGGAAGTGGTGACATTAATGTCCTTTTTTAAAAACAGGTGTCGTATTTCTCTTATTCCTTTCTACCTTGACATTGTGCAACAGAAATTTGAAAAATTATTGTATTAATATTGTCCAATATCAATTATTGGTTTTATTTACTACTCAATTAAATTTAATAAGCCTACTCTCTTTTGGTATAATCACATGGAATGGGCTCAACTCCCCAGTTAATAAGTGACAGCACATGTAAAATATTGTGTACCAGGGAAACTCATTGAACACTTAGTGTTCAGACTGTGGTTTGGTGTCTGGTTCTCTAAGCACCACTGCAGTGAAAATAATAGATCTTCGGCAGAAAAAGTTTTGGCAAATATATTGCATAAGCCATTTAGATGCAGTGAATCATTCTTATTACTTGGGTTGGTGGAATCCCTTTCAAAATGTAAGTTACTAATACAAACAAAGATGGAAATTTGTGAGCAGACATTTTTAAGAATAAGTAATCTCAGGACTGATAATATTAACTCCTTTATGCACATCAGGTAGAACTTTATTATGACAGATACTAGAAATGTACAAAGTGAAGTTAAAAGGTAACTCCTAGCAGCACATCTTACTCCCTGGATTCTCTAATGAGATGGGTGTTTCTACTTTGCTGTTGCCTTTTTGAATAGTTCAATTCTCACATTAGTACTGCTGTGTGGGAGGGAGTATGTGTGAACAGAGTAAGAGTTGTGACAATCAAGTCATAGAATAAATGCTTGGAAATTTTAGAATCATGTAAACAGCTTATGGATTGAGTATAGATTCCCAGTGCTGTCAGTCTCACCCGTCCTACTATCCACATATGTGGAATGTTCTAGGACTCCATGGCTTTTGAGGATGTGGCTGTGAACTTTACCCAGGAGGAATGGGCTTTGGTAGATTCTTCTCAGAAGAATCTCTGCAGAGAAGTGATGCAGGAAACCTGCAGGAACCTGGCTTCTGTAGGTAAGAATGACAACACATTTCACTTAACTACAGAAGTATTTCCCTATCATCAGTGCTATTTGTGATTTGGAATGTGGCAAGGGAATGATTTGGTGAAGAAATTAGGCATGGGCACTGTGTACAATGAACATGAAATCTAGTAATGTTTCTGTAGTTTGTAATAATTCATGATAATTTTGTGGGTCTGCATTTTAGGAAACAAATGGAAAGACCAGAATATTGAAGATCACTTTGAAAAACTTGGGAAAGATATAAGATAATTTGCACTGAGAAGAGGAAATAAAGTCCTCTGAAGGAATCTTAGCTTGTCATGAACTTAAAAACAAGCAATCAAAACAAATAGAGTCACTTGAAATTTATTTTTTTTAGAAAAATTTCACCCAAAATGTAACGTACTTCAAGGTAGCAGTCAGTGTTTGGAAAACAGTTTACTTGAAAATAGCACTACAAAATTGTGTATATGAATGTTACTAATTTGGTCATAGCCATGCAGGTGGTAGCTGTTTTCAGTAGTAACCCATTTACTTTCAAATAATTCAATCATGGCAATAATAATAATAATAATAATAATAACAATGCATTTTCCTTGGTATTGGTTGCAGTGTAAGGCCAAGACCTATTAGTAAGTAGAAAGTTATTAAACCAACCAATAATAATGTGCTTGTCATTTTTTACAGAAATCATGTGGTACAGAGACTGTGTGAAAGCAAAGAAGGTAGACAGTATGGACAAGTAGTCAGCCAAATTCCAAATCTTGATCTGAATGAGAACATTTCTACTGGATTAAAACAATGTGAAAGCAGTGTTTGTGGAAAAGTCTTTGTACATCATTCCCTCCTTAATAGGCACATCCTGGCTCACTCAGGATACAAACCATATGGAGAGAAGCAATATAAATGTGAACAATGTGGGAAATTCTTCGTTTCTGTTCCAGGTGTTAGAAGACACATGATAATGTACAGTGGAAATCCAGTTATAAATATACGATATGTGGGAAAGTGTTTTATTTTCTCAATTCATTTGAAAGACATCAGATCCGGGGCCTATCATGGGGAGGGGGGAGAGGGGAGGGATTGCATTGGGAGTTATACCTGATGCAAATGACGAGTTGATGGGTGCAGCACACCAACATGGCACAAGTATACATATGTAACAAACCTGCACGTTATGCACATGTACCCTACAACTTAAAGTATAATAATAATAAATAAATTTAAAAAAAACATTAACCATTAATGAAAAAAAAAAAAAAGAAATCACTGGCCAACAGTTAATAAACTTCTATTTTACAAAAAAAAAAAAAAAGAAAGAAAGACATCAGAGAACTCACACAGGAGAAAAACCCTATAAATATAAACAATGTGGTAAAGCGTTCACTGTTTCCGGTTGTTGTCTAATACATGAACGAACTCACACTGGAGAGAAACCCTAGGAATGTAAGGAATGTGGGAAAACATTTAGATTTTCTTGTTGTTTTAAGATGCGTGAAAGGACTCACACTAGAGAAAGATCCGATACATGTACCAAATGTGATAAAGCCTTCAGCTGTCCCACTTCCCTTCGTAACCATGGAAGCATTCATACTGGAGAGAGACCCTATGAATGTAAACAATGTGGCGAAGCCTTTAGTCATTTGAGTTCCCTTTGTAACCATAGAAGTACTCATACTGGAGAGAAAGCCTATGAATGTAAACAATGTGACCAAGCCTTCAGTCGTCTCAGTTCCCCTCACCTCCACGAAAGAATTCATACTGGAGAAAAACCCTATGAATGTAAGAGATGCGGTAAAGACTACGCTCGTTCCAGTCATCTTACTCGCCATGAAAGAAGTCATGATATAGAGGCTGGGTATAGTGACTCGGCCTATAATCCCAGCACTTTGGGAGGCCAAGGTGTGTGTATTGCTTGAGCCCAGGAGTTCATAACCAGCCCGGATTAAAACAATGTGAAACAACCTGGGCAACACGGTGAAACCCTGTCTCTAGAAAAAATAAAATAATGCCAGGCACGCTGGCTCAAGCCAGCTACTCGGGAGGCTGAGACAGGAGAAGGGTGTGAACCTGGGAGGCAGAGCTTGCAGTGAGCCAAGATCGCACAACTGCATGCCAGCCTGCGCGACAGAGCGAGACTCCATCTCAAAAAGAAAAAAAAAAAAAAGAAAAAAGAAAATAATTAACTGGGCATGGTGGCACATTTCAGTTGTCTTAGTTCTTTTTCAAGGACATAAAAAGCCACAGGGGGTTGGGGGAAAGCCCTGTGCATGCGGATCACGAGGTCAGGAGATCGAGACCATCCTGGCCATCATGGTGAAACCTCGTCTCTACTAGAAATACAAAAATTAGCTGGGTGTGGTAGCATATGTTTGTAATCCCAGGTACTCAGGAGGCTGAGGCAGGAGAATCACTTGAACCCAGGAGGCGGAGGTTGCAGGGAGCCGAGATTGTGCCACTGCACTCCAGCCTGGTTACAGAGTGAGATTCCATCTCAAAATTAAAGAAAATAAATAAATAAATAAATAAATAAATAAATAAAGCCCCTTGAATGTAAGAAATGTGGCAAAACATATACTCTTTCCCATTCCCTCATAAGCATGAAAAGGCTCACATTGCACAGAAACCTTAAGAATGTAGGAAATGTGGTCAGGCCTTCAGATTTTCCTGTTTTTGAAGATTTGGGAGGACTCAGAGTGGAGAAAAGCCTTTTGAATCTAAATTTGTGGTAAGGCCTTCAGTTATGTTAGTTCCATTTGAAGACATCAGCTGATTCCTGAGAAAAACCCTATGAATGTCCAGAATGTGGGAATGTTTCATTTCTCTCATACCCACTCAAGGACATATGAAAATGCACACTGTAGCTGGCTGGAACTTGTAAATACAAGAACGTACACAGGATTAAAACTCTAATAGTTTAGAAACTGCAAGAATATTTTCAGTTTTCACATTTACTTGAAAAGTCATGTGAAAACTCCCATGGGAAAGAAGTTCTATAAGTGAAGCTTTTCTAATTTGGAAAGCCTGATGCAAATTAATTATGGTGCAGTGCTTGAAAAAAATGTATGAAATGTTACACAAGTTACAAGTATATTGTTTTTATCAGTGGCTCATTCTTAAAGAGTCTTGAGTATGCATTTCACCTTGTTTTGCGGGAAACCTTGAGGTGAGAGTTCCGTAAATGCTCTTTAAGCAGTAGTACTTGAGTTTCATAGATAATGATATTAAGTTTGTTGATAGAATTTTTGTCTATTCATTTGATAATGTGCTGGATTCATGGTTGAATTTAATTTTTCTAATATGTAGGTACATTTAATTTTTTTTATTTCATTTTTTTTTTTTTTTGAGATGGAATCTCCCTCTGTTGCCCAGGCTGGAGTACAGTGGTGCAATCTCAGCTCACTGCAACCTCCGCCTCCTGGGTTTAAGTGATTCTCCTGCCTCAGCCTCCCGAGTAGCTGGGACTACAGGTGCCCACCACTATGTCCAGCTAATTCTTTGTATTTTTAGTAAAGACAGGATTTCACCATGTTGGCTAGGCTGGTCTTGAACTCCTGGCCTCATGATTTGCCCACTTTGGCCTCCCAACGTGCTGGGATTACAGACATGAGCCACTGCACCCGTTCAGGTAAGTTTCATTTGTATGTATTGTCCTGTGATTAATGGACAAGTGAATAATGATTGTGAATTGTTGGGATTGTCTTACTAGCCTCATTTGGCAAATTTTGATTATCCCTTGTTCATTATACACATTCCACCTTTCTTTATTAAAGGAAAAACTACTCTTGATGTAAAGATGTTTATTTTTTGCTAATAATGAGTTAGTATTAATTCCTAAGTACATAAATTTTACCATGGATTATCATCTCGTGAGTTCTTTGCATGTGTTGCCCTTTATTCTTTATTATTTCTGTCTATTATTTGGATCATTCACTTTGAATGAAGGAGAGAGGACTGTGATAGACAACATGTTGTAACCAATCTGAGGGAGGAAGCATTCAATCTCTCAGTCACATATGATATCATTCGGCTTTTCATCGATGCCTTTCTCATTGTAGTAGATAGTATTGCACCATTATGATATGATAGTTTATATATTGTTTTTTAGAGTATTACAGTCTTACCAGTCTGTGTGACATGATTCAGTTCCCTACCAGCCAACAGACAAAGCAATCACATAGTCCTGTAGGAACAAAGGAACATCCTCGGCCGGGTGCAGTGGATCACGCCTGTAATCCCAGCACTTAGGGAGGCCGAGGCCGGTGAATCATGAGGTCAGGAGATCCAGACCATCCTGGCTGACACGGTGAAACCCCGTCTCTACTAAAAATACAAAAAATTAGCCATGTGTGGTGGTGTGTGCCTGTAGTCCCAGCTTCTAGAGAGGCTGAGGCAGGAGAATGTTGTGAACCCCGGAGACGGAGCTTGCAGTGAGCTGAGATCAAACCACTGCGCTCCAGCAAGGGTGACAGAGAGAGATTCTGTCTCCAAAAAAAAAAAAAAAAAAAAAAAAAGGAACATCCTCACTTTTTTCATGCTATACCACTCTCTGCTCCTAAGTTAATCCCTGTTTGGGCCTATGGGAGCTTACACCATCCTCCTATATGTAATTAATAACTGATGTCTGGTTTTTCTGTTTAGTAATAGATGTTATGTGTTTAACGGTGCCAGTAAACGTAGGGTGCTCATTCCTTCCTCACCAGTGGGGTGCATGAGATGCTATTGAAATAATTGGCAACACAAATGGAATGGACCAGCCCTCATGCAGGACACCTGCTCAACTTGACCTACCTGCTGTCCGCTGACGGTTCCGTAACACATCAGCAGTCCCCTGAGTCAGAACCGTGAGCTGATGATGGGCCTTCCCTTTGGTCTGCACAGCGTTCTGTGGTCTTCAGGTGTTTTCATCTTCTCCCACACTAAAATGCTCTCATCTCCTAGACATGAATGTTTCATTGCACCCCAGCATGACATTTGGCCTTTGCTTAGCAGGCAGTTTTGAGGCCCTGACTTATTAATGCACAGAAGCGCAGCACATAAGCCAACACTTAAGTCCTAATTAGCAAGGATCAGGCTGTATCTCTGTAGTCCCTGCATCTACTCTGGTCACCATCTCTGTATGCTGAGGGCAACCATGTGAACATTATTAATTATTGTACACTCCAAGATAATAGTTATTATGTAGGGAGAAGTAGTGGCCTTCTTTGTTTCTTGTGCTGCTGCTCCCCTTGCCGCTGTCCCATACACCCTCCTGATGAGGTGTACATCTATGGTTCCTCATGGTTCAGGCACTGATGAGTACAGAAATTGGGAAGAAAGAGTTTGACATTAGCCCCTATCGAGGGATATGAAGAAGAGTCTCAGTTGCTTGCATTGAAAAATTCCTAGCGAGTGTGTGGGCTTCTCTTATCACTGCTGCTTATCAGCATGTCAAAAGTCGAATCTTCGGATGGCAAGTCTTGCCGGCCTTAGACATAATGGCCTTACTGCGTGTGGAGCTAACCCCAGGAAGATGAAGTGACAGTCTCTGGAGGATTAGGTGGTCTCCTCCAATGTGACTTGATGGGCTCCTGAACTCTTTCCTGTAACCATGCAGAGAGTCTACACTGCCAGTGATCATGTGCCTCAACTCTGTAGATGTAGAAACTCAAAATATTCAACATATTCTGAAACAGTTTCCATTGAAAGGAAAGAGAAAGACAGTTAGGTGCCACGCTCCGGTCAAGAGAACTAGTACATGGCTCACAAGAACACTCTGTTGCTACTGTCTGTGCTTCTGTCACAACAAATATCCTGATCCTTCAGTTTTAAGGGTGTAGGGCCATTTTCCTTCCTTTCTTACTGGTAGTTCTCAAGATAACTGTATGATATGCTGAGAAGACAATATCCTGATAATCAGGTGACATTGGTCAGAACAGCCCAGGCTCTGTTATAGTCCCTGCTCAAAACAGAATGGCCTTTAACACTTGTGTCCAGCAAACCACATCATTTGAGAAAACCCAAGGTGGGCTTCTTTCTGGGGTCCCTCAGTTGTGGTGCAAGTGAAGCATTTACAGTCAAAACTCCATCCATCTGCTCTGGGTAGCCTTCGTGATCTTGTGGTAGCAGTTCATATTGAATCCTAGACTTCTGTTGTCTTTTGTTTGCTAATTGTAAGTAATAAATTCACTTCATAGAATTTATGTATGAATGTGTTTGGTCTCATTGTACTCAGAAAAGTTGGTAGCCATTGCACAGTGAACCCGCTTCATAATTGGTGAAAACACCTATGGCCCCCTTGTGTCACAGTAAGGAGGTTAATTCAGCCAAACATAAACTTCATGTTTGTAAAACCCTGTAGCACAATTATTACCATGCGGGAGGCCTTTAACAATGGTGATGCTGATTTGAAGAACTCTGAAGGAAGAAATTTACACAAATAGGTTGGGTACACGGGAGTCCCTCCTAACTTAAAGAAAACCTTACTCCCCTCTGCCTAAAAGAGTGGAGAGGCGAGGCACCGTGGCTCAGACCTGTAATCCGAGCACTCTAGGAGGCCGAGGTGGGCAGATAATAAGATATCAGGGGTTCAAGACCAGCCTGACCAACATGGGGAAGCCACATCTCTACTAAAAATACAAAAATTAGCCGGGCATGGTGGTGGGCACCCGTAATCCCAGCTACTTGGGAGGCTGAGGCAGGAGAATTGCTTGAACCTGGGAGGCGGAAGTTGAAGTAAGTCAAGACCACGCCACTGCACTCCAGCCTGGGTGACAGGGCAAGACTCCATCTCAGGGAAAAAAAAAAAAAAAAGTGGATAAGAACTGAAACAGGTTTAAAATTTCACCTAATTGGAAATGCAAACTTTACAAAAATAGTATTTCAAATAAAATGCTAAATGAGTGCTCATTGAATTTTATGCCTCCACAAAGTAGGTTGTGAATTAACTTCCACATCTCT